TGACGAAATATAGAGACCTAGTAAGGCTATATATGCATTTATGTTGCTATAGAGACATTCTTATATGCACATGTGAACATAAATATGTCTCATTTAGGAAACCTATATTATTATTCGTTGAATTTGTATGTACCATAATTGACACTACACAAAAGAAGACAGGAAACATTATCTTCAAAATGATTTGGGTCATTCGTTGAATTTGTATGTACCATAATTGACACTACACAAAAGAAGACAGGAAACATTATCTTCAAAATGATTTGGGTCATTCTTTGGAAAAGATTCATAAACTATAAACAACGACCTGATAGCAATTGTTTGATCGAACTGATTGACCGATATGCACAGGTTTTGTTATTATTAATTTTAAGCGACAATGTGTTACACTTAATAATAATCTAGTTATGTTAATTACATATTTGAAATAACAAGGAATAAGATTTGACTCTTTAGAGCGCACATTTTAGGATTAAATGCTTCGAAAATTCATGGTTTATTCATTCTGTCAAATGTAGTCTAGAGTCTATCTGATACCGAATTTTCAGATTATACATATTATCAATATGACAGCTTTGTGCATACCTGTTATCAATTTATTTCGTTTAGTACTGGAAGATTTCTAATAAAAGTTAGATCACACGACATTTTCAGTTTTTACCTCCCGAGCATTGGTACAATGAAGTTAGCATATTTTATTTAGGGAACATGACATCTTACATTGTAGTTGAGCCAAATATTGCTGACACATACGTAAGTTAAACTGATGTTTTGTGTTGATAGAGTTATTCTTTTTTCTATATGGACACACTGAGTTTTAAACATTTACTATAGATACAAACATACATTTGTTGAACACTGTGGGTCTTAAGTTGGAAATCATTATTGAAAATCTAGCTATTCCAGTGAAAATTCATCAATTCCATTCCATTGTGTGCATCTGGCACCAAGTATTATTGAACGCATACGGCTTTCAAGTTTACTAGTTTTATCTCCAGCCCATTGCTCTCTAGAAATGAACTTTAGGTGACAGAGTAGCAGCATATAATTTGCCTTTTACTGATCTTTAACTATTACCTTTAGGCACAAAAGTTTGCTTGCCTTGACCAATGGCTGTTTGCAGAACTTCATTAATTCTCGTAATTGAAATAATATATTTTCTTTGCGCTTCTGGTAATGATTTAACGTGATCACCAGCAACAATTCAACCACAGAAAGGCATAAGCTAGTGAAGTACATGTTTATTAATTTTATTGGATGTGTCAGAATGGATAGAAGACAAATCGACTACAGGCCATAGCAATGATTCTGTTTCGGTAATAGTTTCTAATAAATACAAGAATATAGGTAAATAAAATACACCGACAAAGATGTACAACACAGTTTTATCATTAGGTGTTCAAACATCATTTAAAGAATTCATGGTTACTAAAGTACAGCCCAGTACGTTTTTGATAATCTAACATGAAGAAAATTTCGTCGCCATGTCGTTGTATCTTGCAAGATGTGATATGATGATTTTAAAATAATTTTAAATTAATCAATGTGCATATAAACTACAAGGCTATATTGTATTTTGATCTTACCAATATAGTTTTTAAAAGAAATAGCCAAAATTTCATAACATTTTTTACGTATTAAGTCTAGCAATGACGTCTTTAACAGCGCAGTTTAATTGACATATATGGTTATTCAAGTTGTAGCTAATGTTTGAGGGTATAAATTGAGCCTAAAATACTGATTTTGTCTTTTTTCGTATAATAAGTGTTATTTCAATGTTTTTATTTAAAATGCTTACTTGGGTTTCATTGCTAATTGTTTGATGCTGCTTACTGCATTCAACTATAGTCACCAGTTACTTTCATCTTAGGTACTGTTATCAAGTTAAATAAGAAACAATAACATCCTCCTAATAGTGCGTTTACAGAGGACGTTTACGCAGGTTTAAAGGTTTCACAGTTACAAAATAACATTGGTAACAAAATTGTCAATCTCAAATCCTACTGAACATTTTTTCAGATATTTTTTATATTTATGATATTACAGGATATAAATACTGATTTGTAGTTGCTACTCTATTGCAAAATTTACAAAATTGGTCCAGTATAGATGCCATGACATTGCGGTTGAAAACAAATATGATACAAGCATTTTATTGCTGAAAACCAGGAATAAATGTGTAAAAGATTATTTGATCTAGTAATTAGCTACTATGTTGATATGCATTCAACTTTACAAAGTTTATAAATTTTCTTATATAAACCTTCGAAAAATAATATAATTTGCATTGCTTCAGAAAAGTTGTTTCTTTAAGATATGGTAAATATTGTTAATTAATGAACCCAATTGAACTTAAGTTACATTTAGGCGCGCATGTAACACGAGAATGGAGACGGTTTTATAGGTAAAATATTTGATTTAAGAACTGCAGACAGAAATATTATAATAAGTGCTTTACGTTTTCATCTTTTATTCATCGCAATTGGTATTGTCTCGACATAATCATATTTTTGTTTCTAATGTCATTATAGATGCAGAATAGTCTACAAGATGCCAGGACATGGGAGATGACTGGGGCAGCGAACAGGCGTTGTTACGCACGTTGCCGTACATATATTACAAGCATGCTGATAGATAATGACAGGAATATTAAGTACTTTAAATTCTCTTCTAAGTATTGAAATTTCGAACCTTATGAGTCAATTCCTTTGGCGAAGCTATAATCGACCTAGACAAATTATTAATGTCTAGATTTTGATAGCGAAAATATCACTTGGTGAGAATGTAACAACCTCATGCAATAGTTGCACGAAAATTATCTTCTGTATGTTTGTGTATGGTGCTTATTAATCTCGCCGACTAGAAAACGTTTATATGGTTACAATGCATGAGCATTTACATGTCATGAACCGATTGAAAGCGTTATTTTAGTTCTGGACACATTTTATGCTGACAAAATATTTCACACATTGGGGATGCCATATGTTTATTGCATTAGAGGCATTTTCTCGTATTGAATCAAGAAGCCATTACTTCATCGAGAACACCTATATTCACATTTATTACAGAAACATTCCATATAGGTTCACTAGATTCAGGAGCATGTGCACTATATACAGAACCATATGTATATATGTTGTTTTTTAAATTTTGCATGGGTTCGGTTGAAGATGAATTAGTTTGATTTATCTTTGACATACATTCTTCTCGACTGTTTCAAACTATACGATTAATGCGCACTATAAAATTTAACAATCATGCCAACCAATTCTCATGTTATTCAATTGCGATCTGCAGGAAAATGCTGTGAAGTCGGAGGATGTACCTCTAGCCATTTTGGAGAGACGTCTGAAGCTAGCCAAGTCTAAAAAGGAGAAGTCAGAACTTCAGACCCGACTTAATGAACTTATTAGAGTATATTTATTCATAACCTGTTTTCATTATCACCAGTTAAATGAACACATCATGATCCATTATGTACGAGGGAATAGCGTCAGGGCATGCGTGGCACTGATGAGTTCCCTAACGTGATCTGTGGCTGGATTAAAGTGGCGCTCTTGACGAGTGCATATGAAAATTGGTTTATCTAAAATACCATATTAGATTTCCTTCTCATTGATATTACTTGGTCAGTCTTTAATTGAGATTTATGATAACTTTGGTTCAAACATGTCTGACACTATTCTCGTAAAGTTACACCTCCATAAGACTCCGTTGAGTTATATTTGTATTTTAACTTCAGTTTGGAACTAAGGAATTCACGAAGTTTTATATAATTTCCCCCTGAAGCTTTCAACCCATACTATTATTGAATATTTTCTAAAATTGCTTCATCCTGTTCAGGTGATTGAAAACGAGCTTGAGAAAAGGGCATCTGTTAGCGACTACTGTATTTTTTCTGCGGCATTTTTGTTCCCCACACATTAACATAATGGTCGCTGCATCTTAATATTTTATGCTTTATTTACTTAACATTTTTAAAAAGTACTTTGCTTTTCAGATATTTTCTTTGCTATTTTAAAGTAACACACACACACACACACACACACACATATATATATATATATATATATATATATATATATATATATATATATATATATATATATATATATATATATATATATATATATATATATATATAATGTTCTTAGTTAATGAAATGGCACCTTTTAAAAGTTAACAGGAGTTGAAGTTTTTTTTTGTACCTTGAATTAATAGGTGAACCAAAAGTACTTGAAATATTTTACCTTTTATGAAGTATGTCCCCACATTACGTGGTATAATAGTTCATTAACGTGAATGAATGTATTCTTGTAGGACAGAAAGCTGTAAAGAAGCTCCATTGAATTCATTTTCACCTTTGTTGATCTAGGATGTGGAGACAGCTAATAAGATATTGAAAGGGAGCGACATACTATACACGACTGGGATTGTTATGAATCACCTTTAAACAAACTTGTTCAAATATGTCTTCAACTCAAAATTTCCGAGATAAAGAGACACAAGTGCTTTTATTTTTTATTAATGTTCTCTTATAAGTTATGATTGTATGAATGCAACAGCAACGGAAGTCTACATATAATGTAAAATCAGGAATCATCACATCATAAATATGTTTTGTTTCTTTTAAGACAGGGTCATTGTGGGTTGTATGATGGAATTCCTTTACCGGAGTTACTTTTGGAAGTATACACATGCATGGGTGTGAATGGGATTTCATTTACTCCAAGCAGATCACTGAAACAGTAGTAAATTAAATTTTTGAAAGGAGGACTAAGAAACAAAACTCATTCCTTTGCCAGACGTCTTCTGATGTGATTATGATTTTTAACGTAGCTTTAACAATTTTTTAGTCATATCGCTACGACGTCTGCAGACATGTAGCATGATGTCCCACCCAGTCATATTATCCTGACACCAGGCCTACCAGTCCTAACTCTTAATCCTGATCGTCAAGCGAGACAGCTGTTAGTAAAATTTTTTCTAAGTCTTTGGTATGACTCGACCGGGCATAGAGCCCACGACCTCCCTCCCGCATCCGAAGCGGACGCTCTAACCACTAAGCCATTGGAGCGGTTCACTTTTGCCAGAACGTCATTTTATAATTGATTTATCTGTTAAACTAAGTAACATGTTTTATTTCACTAAGGTATACCTAAGATAATACACCTGTCAAAGGAGAACAATGTTAAAATGTAAAATACTGTAATAAAATTAAGGTGATGCGCAATTGGGTATAGCGCCCTGTTTAAGCAATTATTAGGTTTGTGTGATCACTTGTTTAATTATTGGAATCCGGTGCAATAGGAAAAATTTCTTAGCCCGAAATAATTAGCTAATTACTTGGAGCAAACGTCATGGAGAGAAAGTGTTAGTGAGTTTCATGATGCCATGGTCAGTGAGTAGCGAATTCAAACCCAATCCGCATGAGTGACCCTTGATGTCGTACTTAATAAAATCTAATGGTATACATTACTTGTTGTGATTGGAGTGGGACATTTACGGTAGGAAACCGGTAAATTACACAGGGGAATAAATGAGAAGGGACCCGGAAGATATCGTTTATGTCGTCATGGTGGCAAATGTGATGTAGTTTTAGTGGCGTGATGTGCCTTGAAACCATAGATTGACTGGCCTAAGGTGGCGTAGTTAAAATAGTTCCCTGTGTTAGGGATAGTTGTAAAGTTTCTACGGTGTGCAGTGCTGACGGTGCGGAAAGTTGATGTAGAGAAACTATGCGGATGTGCGGTTGATGGATAATTGGCAAAATGAGAATAATGTGGTCTTGCATTGATTAGAGTAAAATTTAGGTATAGAATGGACACGACGGGCTTTCCAAATTGCAAACTGAAGTTGTATAGAAGTCCGTGGAAATTTGGAGCAAACATATGACTTCTGGCGGGAATCGCGCCAGGATTTTAACACCACTCTGGCAAGCAAAGATCCCTGGCTTGTAACAATACTAGTATTCTGGTTAGGTTATTGATCTGTCAAGGGAAGGTTAAGGCATTGCCAGTATGGTATGACTTAATAATAAAGATACGTAAGAATGTATACTGGAATTATATTAAGAACCAATAATTCAATGTTTTGGGACAGAGACCTGGCACTTATCACTTACTGGGTATTTTCCGTCTGTCAATTGCTGGAAAAATATCTGGCTTTGATTTATAGGAATATTATATATATATATATATATATATATATATATATATATATATATATATATATATATATATATATATATATATATATATTAATTAAAAATTCCATTATGCTGAGATAATAAAAAATATATTTCAGCTAAAGATAAAATGACAGCTCCGCAGCCCAGCCCACCCTACCCCAATTAAATGGTCAGTACCTTATAATAGATGTAATTGTTATGTGTATGTTAATAGTTGCATAAGTCGTAATCTAAAACTTGTAACTAAAGTGAGATAATTAAGCGTGTATTATAGCTGATAACGTGAAGACATCATACTACCATTAAAGAGTCTATTGATAAAAATAGGAAGTGTCGATTCTGAACACTTCAATATTCCAGGTGCACTGTTGATATACTAGGCATATACATTTTAAGTAAGATGTCATCGCGCAGGCAAGATATTTATCAGAGAGGGCCAGTAAACACAAAACATACTATTTAGTGGACTTGATAAATTACGTGAAGTTCAGACAAAGAGCAAGCAGTGCCGGATTACCCTATAGGCAGAGTAGGCACCGGTCTACGGGCCTCACACCTTTTAGAGGCCCGGCTACAACGGATAAAAATAGTATTTAATTGATTTGATCTTGACGTATTTGGAGATAATTTGCGAGGGTCCCCGAGAATTCGAGTGCATAGGTGCCTCCACAGGGTTTAATCCGGCACTGAGAGCAAGTGCACTTCTGAAAAGGATGAGTGAATACACATGCTTAGTACATTCACGTAAGCTAGTAAATGGATAACAAAAAATAGACGCAGTTTCCTTTTATTTATGTTTGCTTTTAAATTCAAAATTTTTCCGACAGTTTGATTTGGCCCGAATATGTTTCACAACTATCCATTTGGACACCGCGTTGGCATATGTGACACCTGTCAAAATTATAATGTTAATATTCCCCATTAATTTATATCAGATACACCTGTTTGTACAGGAAAACACACTTTTAACATCATTTAGGCGTTAATAAGATTCCTCGGGAACATCTCTTACTGACAGAAGCTACCCGTACAGTGAAAAAGAACCGTGAAAGGTACCACATGAAAGAAGAAAACAATACCTCGATAAACCGGTACACCTCTACGATCCTGTGTACATATTACTACTGTGACATTATCTTTTGATGAACATTTTTATTAACTCCTAATAAATAAATCGACTGGTTCATTAGTCTTGGTTGGTTCAAGCGTAGTATCCAAATTTAAGATTGAAGAAGCAAAACATAAACAATAATCACAAAAGTCGTTGACATTTACGAATTTTCAGTATATCCTTGCATAATAAATTTGTGAATGAATGAATGGGACAATTTAGAGGTGTGGGTGAGTGGGAGTTGTTTAATGGTTTCATTCGAACCACTTTGTCCAGTACAAAATAGTTCAAGCACAAACAACTTTCTTTAAAGGCCGTGTGGTCTAAAGCGTTCACCGTTACTGATTACTGCCATCTAACCTCTGCGTTGGTTCGAGTCTCAGGCTCGGCCAATGTTGGTACGTGACAAAAGCTTGCCAGTAGCTTTTCATGGGTTGGTGGTTCTTTCCGTAGTTTTTCTTGGTTTTTTTCTCCACAGTTTATACTGGTCGCCATGTATAGTTTGTCTTGTGCTGAAACAAGGTGTTAAACCTAACAACAACAACAACAACAACAACAACAACAACAACAACAACAACAACAACAACTTTCTTTAAACTCGAACCCCTTAAATACAAAAAGAAAACAACCCTGGATAAGTCAGTAAATTGGTACATTCCATCCATCACACTTGATTTTATGGACTTTAGGTTTGATTTTGAGATCACGAAAAATTGTTTAAAAAGCATAATCCTGTTTTCCGCTAGTTTATCAAATCTCAAATTTGTAATAAAAGGATTACTTGATAAAGGAAACTATTCAAGAGCACTTTAATATAGCAAAGGAAAGAATTACAGCCAGAGAGTATGCAGGCATAGTAAGTATGTTGCCTGAGTTCTTATAAGGATTTGGGATTTTCGAATACGCAGATGAGGAAAGGATATTTTACATGTTGCAGAAGAAAGCTCGTGTTACATAGATCAGTTTAACTGACTTTTCTGTGTTATCGTGATTAAGGATACATTGTGTATAACAAAAACAAGGACAATTTTGCAATTTAATTCTTCAGGTATTCCTGGATAAAATATTCAATGTATGACATGCCAAAGATAGTACGAACCTTTCTATTTATCTATTTTTAATATCTACCTTTATTTAACAAGCCCATCTTTATCAGGTCGTCTTGGTGCATTTAGAAATGTCAGTCTTCTAAAGTAATTCTTCTTTAGATAATGACATATTTTTCAAATATAAATTTATTGAAGAAAGTTGACCGTAATAGGTTCCACAGATTTTGTGTCAAACGTTGTACAAAAATAAATATTATTGTGTCTGATTATCTTTGGTGTTACTACTTTGCTGTTTTCTAAATTCATACTTTTCATACTAATTGCATATTTGACATGGAAATCATGAAAGAGCTGGGTGGCCTTGGGCTACATAAATTAGCAATCATAATGTAATTGTGACTAATATATAGAGACATGCATCTTATTTATTGTGTTAAAACTTAAGATTCTGATGTTCGTGACTGGAATTCGGTACGGAGCTAATCGAAACACATGTGGCTACTTAGTTCAGAAAATCCATTTATCAATTAAAGAAATTTTGCTCTTACATTGAATTTTGATTGATAATAATCATTTTGAACGAGAGTAATAAAAGTGACCGACGTTTCTGTTATTAGGAACTTATATAATAAATGAAAACTATGTTATCCATTTTTATATTTCACTTGCAAGCATCGGTAGTTTGGTGGTTGCATGCGTATTAGGAAATATGCCGATTTCCAGAACAGCTGAGGTTTAGGTTAATGTTTTCATGTCAATGCAATCTATTTACCAAAAACAGTTGCATTAGTCATGCAGAGTTTACAAGAAACAACAAATTCATATTAGTTTTATTGTGAACAGAATGAAAACTTGTTAATAAAAAGCCACGATAACTTCTTATAATGGATAATTTATTTGATTGCAATCGAGATATTTTCTTGGTTTTCAAGTTAGGCCAAGAGAACTAAAGTAATCACCTTGCGGCTGTGTTGTGTCATCGTCGTCTGAATCAACTGTTAATTGAATGTCTGTTAAGGAAGAGCTGGGTCACTTCAACGTAATTCTTGAAGTTAGACACTTTATATACGTGTTTTCATAAATGTTACTGTTTTGATGTTAACACAGCAAATGAAAAAGCAAACATTAATGGCAATACCCTTAGAGGAATTGAGTTCTGAAAATTGCAACCCTATTTGACAACATATCATTAAAACATTCCATTTAAAAAAGAAAACAACAATATAGCAAAACCCGCCCAAACGATTTTAGCTACATTTGAGAATTACCATTTCAGCATATCGATCTTGCAGTTCACTATTTGCAACAATTATAACAAAACAACAACATTCTCCTTTCACACAAAGTTAAAGTAATTTGAGCCTAATGGAAAATATAGCATTCAGCATTTATATCTTTCCAGTTGGTTCAAATGATGAATATCGACCGTCAGACATGGCAACTGTTACTATTATTAGAAAACCCACGAATTGGATTACTTTGTATACACGATACTAAAACAAAATTTTTATTAGATTTAATAGATACAATTATCAAAACCTTCATGATGTGTACAAACTATACCAGTCATCCACTAGATAAGATGAAAAATTATATTTCTGAAGGTAGAAAACATTTTATTGATTCTGCCACAAAAAGGGATTTTAAAATAACAAGAAGGGCAACAAAAAGCTGACATCCAAAATCTGTTAGATGTGTTTGCTATATTACTGGATTTAAGTCCTGTT